TTAGCCAGCGGCTTCAGGCAGGGAGCTTTGGCTATGTGAAACTAATTAGACTTAGTTTAGGTTTACATCTTCAAAGAAAAAATCTGTACTTCCTAAATTTTACTTTACTATTTTATATCAGTTCCTGTTTATCCATCAGGATCACAATGTTTCCCCATAGATCCTAAATTAAATGATTTCCCCTTCCAAGTAAGCACTGGGATGGCAAGTCGCACTGCGTGACGTACGGTAACACAACAGCCGAAAGCAGACTGCACCGGGACTCAGACACATACACACCAACAATCACAGCAGCTCCACACAGGACAGCCAAAAGGAGGAGACAGCCCAGAAGTCCATCAACAGAGGAACGCGTAGACAAAGTGCAGTGCACACCTGCACTGGAACAGCATTCGAGCTTAAAAAGGAAGGAAGTTCTGATACACACTACAGCATGGATGCACCTTGAGGATACACTGAGTGAAATAAGCCAGACACAAAAGGACAAACACTGTGTGACCTCACTTACACGGGGGACCTGGAATAGGGACAGAAAACAGAAAAGTGGTTATAGGGTGTGGTAAAAAGGAGCGTGTTATAAATAACAAACAACACCTTTGTAGCCCTTCTCATTTAGGAAATTCCAAGAGTTTTGGGAGTTCTGTGCTGGGAACAAAGACCAAGTATCCATTCCTTATTATAAATCACAATATCACAGAAGGATTTACTAAGCCCCTAATAAGAAGTTTTCCTACAAGTAAAGGACCTCAACGCCTTTCCCAATGGTTAGCTACACCAGCCACTCCCATGAGGGCCCCCCCCCCCCGCCATCCAGCTGAGTTTGGCAAAGACCCCCAGGAAAGCAGAGAACCAACAGTGAGTGACATCTCAACATCACCAAGAGACCTGAGCTTTGGAGAATGCAGGGGTGGGGGGACTCCTTTTTACAAAAATAGTGCTGATTGACACTGGGAGGAAAGAAGAGGTGTGGGAGCACTGACTGTGCTGGTCTCACGCCCTCTCAGGCCACCTTTTGGTGTGGAGAGCTGTTTGCCCCAGCAGGTGGGCCCTGACGACCTAGCCTCCCCTCGCCAGGATCCAGGATCGCTCCCGTCTCAGCTGCTGCTGGCATCTCAGCTGCTGCTGGCAGCAGGGATTCTCAGCCTCTCCAGCACAAATACCACCCTGGGAGAGTGAGGGCTTTCCTTCCTCCCCTTTGTCACTATTCCCTTGGACGTCTTCCACTTCTGTCCCCTGGGATACCTTTCCAAAATAAACTGCCCGGGCCTCAGCCCTGGTCTCCATCTTTCAGTTGACTCCAGCGAGGACAAGGCATAAGATGAGCTCTCCACCCCAGACAGCGGGGAGAGGCGTACAGGCACAACAGTGGCCCAGCTCCTCCCGTACCGAATGCCAAGTATGAGGCTTCACACACAGTCGATGTTTAAAACTACCAGTTAAATGGGTAAAAGAAAAGAAAATAATGGCAAATCATGGAAGACAGACTATAACTAACTGCTATCCTGTATGACGCAGCCACAAAGTAACAGTGGAGGCTTCAGAGGAAAGGACAAAATCTGAAGCAGAAAGGGAAAGATAAGGTAGACCCCTGAGAGAGGATCAAGAAAAGGAAGGTGGTCCTGAAAAAGGAAATGACTCTCACACGCTAAGGACCCACTGACTAGGCCACCTGGAGCTGGCAACCTGGAAACTGAGGGGAAATGAGACAGTGTACTGCGATGGATGAGGGCTAGACAACACCAGGGGATGGGAACAGATTTTGCATGGTGGTCCTTGAAGACTTGTGAGCAGAGGTGCGAACCAATTTCCTCACTAAACCACACCAAGCTTTCCACATAAGCCCTGACAGCCAAACCCTCAGGCTTACAATCATGATTGACTCCATCCCTTTCTTTTCTTGCTACATGAGTATCAGCTGGCCAGGCACACTTAGCATATTAATTTATTCAATCTACAAAACAACTCCGTGAAGTAGGTTCTATTATTAGCCCCATTTTACAGATGGGGAAACTGAGGCACATAGAAGTTACATAGCTGGGTGACAGAGCGAGGATTCTGCCTATCTGGCTCTCTCTTTCATATCCCCCCCCCCACAATCAATGAAGTCACCACATTCTCCATGATCCCACATGATTCCTTTCCCAAACTTTCCCGTATGTTGTGTCCTCACCAATTTCCAAACCTGAAACCTCATGTAATTCATACATTTCCTAGACATGCATTGAGTTCCTGTCATATGTACCAGACGCTGGGCAGGCTGCTGAGGACACAACGATGCACAGCCCCCACTCTCCGGGAAGGTCACATTACAGACCTTGCGAGATGAACCAAGTCCTGGAGAGGAGAATCTACAGATGAGGGTGGCAAACTGGGCCTGGGGTGAAACCAAATTGGCAGGTGAAAAAACAAATTTTCACTTATCCCAGAAGAAATGTTACTAAGTGTCCCTGCTAAGTGCTAAGCCCTAGAAAGTGAGAAGGAAGGAAGGACAGGAACACTGAAATGAGTATCCTGCCACCCCACTCACTGCTCACACCCACAAAGGTGCTCACAACATGCCTATGAGAGACACATGATAAAAACCGATCAGTTCGGTCTTGCTCTAACACCACTTCAAATCGCATGACTTTCAGTAGCTTTCCAGAACTGTCCACAGGTATACAAAATCAAGATCCTGTTCCAGGTATTCAGGGACCCCATCTTCTACTCTCTACCTGGCTCTGACTCATTTCTTATTAAAGCAATCTTCCTTCCAATACATTCCAAGCACGTAAGAAAATAACATTCACACTTTATGTGTTCACACATGTGATTGACCTTGCTTAAAATGTCAGTCTCCTTTATTTCTATCTGTCTTCATCTATGACCTTTTTCAAAAGTATCCAAAGCTAGGATGACTATTTTTGTCACTCAGACGGTTTTGGCCTTTTCTCTACAACAGTCCTATGGTCATTATGGATTAAAGTTTCCAGCATGTATGGAACCGATGAATTTTGTTCTGTGTGGTTCTTTCGGCCATGCCCATGTGAGTTGGCACGTGGTAGGTGCACAAGAAATCTTTTTGGATTCATGATGAAGTGTTAAGTACCATACAGAAAGATCTCATATTATTACGCACTATGCTTTAGTAAAACTTACTATAAAACCTTCCTTCTCTTCTTCCCCGAAACAGATAATGAAATATACTGATTCATCAACCTTGTAAACAAGCCCAGTCTTCCCCCAAGGAACTACTATGACATGAATGAAATCATCATTTTACACTGGACAGGATGCTGCTAGAATAGTGTTTGTCACACAAGAAACTCCCAATAACTATCTGTACAGGTGAACTAAAACTGTCAACTTTTTCACACCTGCTATACAGTATATAATGAGGTAAAGGTTTCTGATAAAAAATTTTTTAAAAATATATTTGAAGGTCAACCCAGACCTAACACAGAAAAAGTAGCTTTACACACTTGACATACTGTGCTCTCCACTGTACTAGGCCACTTTTTCCTTCCCGGCGTTCACAATCTGTTTGTTGTTTAAGTGAGGACAATCATCCCTCTGCACCCTTAGGAGCTATTAGCAGGAACCTGGCCAACACTGGACCCAAAAATCAGAAAATGGCACTGTGAAATACTTTCTGGATAACAGAATTTAATGCCACTGGTGACAGTCATTTTAAATAGTGTGATCACAATATTCTAACTAAATACAACCATTTCATTCCACTCTACATAGACTTTTTTAAAGAAAAAATATGTAATGAACAAATAAATGAGGTTTTTATCCCCCAAATGATCTGGAATTAGCATACAACAAACACTAAATGTCACCGGGAGGGCACTAATTTTGGTGCTCTGGTGAATGCCAAACAACACGCTTTGAAGTAGCCAAATAACCCACGAGAGAAAAAAAGATTACTTTGGAAAATTTACCACTCATTGGGTTGGGTTTTTTCCTCCAACAGTACTCGGCATGATACGAATAAAATATGTCAGACGACTGTGAACCCTGCCTCAGCCCCTCCAATCCATGCACCTCGCGGTTGTACTGAGATCTGCGGGTGACACATGAGACCTAAAGTGGGTGGATAAAAATAACCTGGTCCTCAGAAAGACATGATAAAAGCCAGACAGCTGAGTCACTTTGAAGCCCATTTTGACTCCTGAAAGGGACATTCATCCTCCTTTTCCTTCTCATACATACACATACAACCTGGTGAAAACCACCATGGACGCCCTGGGTGGAAGTCAGGGATCAGTCTTAACTTCCCCCTCCGGTCTCTGAGGTCACTACTCGAGATTGAACTTTCAATAATTTATACTAGTGCATTTCAGTCCAAGTGACTCACTTAAATGGGGTAAGGGAACATGTTTAAGGAAACCATAATAATCCAGGAGACTCCCATTTCTGTTGTCCGAGTAGACGTACCAGAAGGTTTCTTCTGACATTCTTACGGAAAGAAAAGAAGTGAGGAGAAATGGGAAGTGAAGGAAGCAAAGCTCAGAGAGGAAATTAAGGTTGTCCTGGAGTGGGAATCCTTGGGCAAAGCCAATGGTCCAAGAGAAGGGCCGTGGGTGTCGGCGGGGAACAATCCCGTCCACCTACGCGCCCTCCGCTCACGCCCCAGGGAGGACGCGAACCCTCTGCAGCACGCAGTGCCGACCGGGGAACTCTTCCACTCGGTCTTTCCGAGGCGGCGGAGCTCTAGGCAGGCGGGAGGTAGCGGAGGCCCTGTCAGGCTAGGAAGCTGGCGGAGCCAACCCCCTGGCGACCCAATCTTGGGCTGCAGGCAGCGCCGAGTACCCAGCAGGCACTCGTCGAGCGTTCGCCGAACTGCAGTAGCCCTGAGCCAACTCCGCCGCCCGGCGGAGGAGGTCCCCGGCTGCCACTGCGCATCTTCTCCTCCCGCTTCACGTGCCGCCGAGTTCCGCGGCTCGCAGCCGCCCCAGGCCGCCGCACCCGGACCCTCCCCCGAGGCGCCGGGGGCGCCGCCGAGCCCCGCTTACCGGCGAGTCGTAGGAGAAGGCGCATTCGTTCTTGTACACCCTGTCCCCGGACCTGGGCACGCGGATCGTGGGCATGTGGGGCACCAGCAGCTCGCCGATGTCCCCTGCAGCCATCTTCCTGCTGCCGCTGCCGCCCGGCACGCCGAACAGGGCGCCCCGGCGCTGCATGGCCGCGGCGCTCACCGGAGCCGAGCCGAGCCGAGCCGGCGTGCTGGGTCTGCCCGCGGCGGCGGCGGCGGCGGGCTGCGCGGGCGACGCGAGCGGAGCCGGGGCGGGCAGGGAGAGCGGGCCGCGGGGCGGGCGCGGGCACCGGGGGCCTGGGGCCGGCGGGCGGGGCGGGGGGTGGGGGACGCAGCTATTTTTAATCCAATGGCGAATCGCGGGCCCAGCTGCAGCGTCAGGCGGGGCTCTGGGGAGGGCCAGCCGCAGCGCGACGGGGTGGGGGCGCTGGAGAGGGGCCCTGGGCCGGGCCGGGCTCGGCGGCGGGGGGCGGGGGGCGAGCCCCGGGGGCGTCGGCTTGGGATCCCTGTGCGGGCGAGGGACGCTTCTTGCCCACGCGGGCGGCCTGCGGTGGGGCACCACCACGGAGTTTTTTTACCCTAAATCGTTAGGTTGCGAGGGAGTGACTCCGAGGCACCAGCACAAAGAGCAGAACGGGGCTTTAAAAACCGCTTGCTTTTAAAATAACTGAAGACAGAGCGGGGACTTCCCCTGATTGGGTAGGGGTGGGACTCGGCGTGCATATCTGGACCCTAACGTCGGGCCCAAATCTAAATTTGCTCTGTGCACTTTGATGTTAACCGCACTCACGTTTGTTCCTCACTTAACATCTAAAGCTCATCAAAAGAGAATAGGATCCAGTGAAGATAAACTGTATTTTTGCAATAATACAGTTTTTCGTACATATGGGGGGAGTCAAGAATTTACTGGGCGGGAGGAAGGGCATTATATTTTTCCATGTATTTGTACCGTCTTCTGCTTGATACAAGTCTCCCTGCCTGATTTGGGGATCTTACGTGTTGGGCATATGTATTCCTGTCATGCACGCCCAGTCCCCTAAAATAAATAATGAATAGGGTGGGGGGTTGCGAATAGAGCATGCCTCACAGCATACTCCATTTTCTTAAAAAAAAAAAAAAAAACCCTCTTAAAACACGGGTTCCGTTCCATTGAGGTTCCCTTACTACACTGAACGTAATACCCTGTGATTCCTGCCAGTTCATGAAACACAGAAATAGCAAGAAATAGTGAATCAAAACGCCTCTCCCACATCAAATTGTCCTTAAATTCTTTTTTCCCTCCATTATTTCTTTGTTATTCTCCCTGATTCTGCAGATATGCTGGCTCTTCTAGGGAGGAGGGGTACCTGAAATTTGAGGAGAAGTGGACCGGCAAGCCCTCTCTGGCCTTGCTCTTCTAAATTTCCATGCCTTCCAGCAAGGCTCAAGCACACTGACACATCCACTTAACTCACAGCTTCCTACTACTGCTACCTGATGGAAATGGAGAAGGAAAAAAGACATGCAGAAAGAAATTACACACTGTTCCTATCCCCACCATTGGCCAGGAGTTTTTGCTTCTTATTTTTTCTCACCAGCTTACACCCTCTGGTAGTAGCTGTGTCTGTTTCAGATCCACAGATGAAGCTTGCTTGTCCAATTACAGAGAAAAACTTGATTCAAAAGCATCCCAAATTTAAAATGTTAAAAATGTTTAGATTCAATGCAAATTAAATTGAGACACCATTTTTTACCCATCAGACTGATAGATACATTGAGTTGGCCTGGGTTTGGGAAATAGACCATCACAAACATTGCTGGAGGGAATAAAAATGGTAAACCACTTTGGAAGGAAATTAACAACACCAGTCATAATTTTATATGCATATTCTGTACTGTTTTTCCCAGCAATTCCTCGTCTAGACATTTATGCTACAGATTCATCCACGTTGTGTGAGGATAATTGTTGGAGCATTGTTTATAGTACAGATATCCAGAACAGCCGAAAGATCTATCCATAGGAAATGGATAAAATACAGTACCATTGAAAAGAAAGAAGAGCGCTGTAGGTGCTGATGTGGAACAATCTCCAAGTCATATTACTAGATGAAAAAAGCCAAGTGCAAATCAATGCATGAAAGCAGGGAATATGCAGTAGGCACTCAGCACGTCCTTCCGGTTGTTTGTAATTGTGGTAAACATTTTTAATGCTGCGCATATACATACATACACACACACACACACAGCCTCCCAAGGACCCAAGAGATCTTATCTCACCTGAGTTCTCATCTCTGCACACCAGAATGCCAATGACACTCTACAGTGAAGGTTCTAATCAAAATGGGAAAAATGGAAACAATCTAAACATAGAGAAATGATTAAATTGTGTCTATGTATTCAAAGATGTTTCAACAAATCTTTGAAATGATTGCTTTAATACATCAGAGTATCATAGCTTAACATATTTACGATGCTCATACAGCATTATTGTAACTGGGTAAAAATAAATGCATTTGACCAGACTGGAAAGATGTAAAATTTAAATAGTTGTATTTCAATTTGATTACAGGGTTTTTTCTGCTTTCAAAATCTCTTCAAGAATGTTACATTTCTTTCATAATATAAAAATGTATCGAGACAAAAAGGTTAATAAGAGAAACTTCACGGAACTCAGACAATGTCTTAATCATGTCTTTTCAGGAGAAAAAAATTCTAGTTCAACTACTAGAACTATTTAAGTTAATTTTACAAATTCTACATATGAATTTATAACTGGATTCATACTATAGGGCTGGTTTCTGCATGTGGATCTTCATCAAAAACGAGAATAATGATGCTGCTCAAACAATTTAACTTCCAGCATAAATTAAAAGTCTAACCAAAGAGATTTCAGAGGACCTAAGACTAAGAACTGACTTTTGTCACACCAAGGTGTTCAGGCCACCATGTCACTTTACTGCTAAAAAGCCCCCTCCTGTGATGGGGTGGGGGGTGGAGTCTGAACTTGAACTCACTAGCCTAACATTCAAGGACCTCTCCCCTCTAGCAATTGTTTCAGACTTAATTCCCTCTCCTACACTTCTAGGGAGCTCCCTACACTGTTCCCCAAGGCTAAGTGTATGTCTCCTAGCTTTAGCTTACAGCTCTCCCCTCTGACTTCCCTCCTCTGAAGGGTTAGTGTTTTGTTCATGGAGCCTTTTCTGACTGCTCCAACCCTGAGGGCCTGATAGTTTTTAAATGACAGCCCCTATTGCCTGTACCCATCATCCAACACTGCCTTATGACATCTTTTATACTGTTACTTCATTAATCTTGGTTCCATGTTTTGTCCCTCTATATAGAAAGCAAACCCTTTGAAAAAAAGTTATATTTTTCTAGTGTCCTTGCTCGTTGTGGAAGCTCCATGTCTATGGAATATTGCTCGCCCAGGAAGGTCCTGCTCTGTTTGTTTTAGGTACTCAGTAAGTGCCTTCCAAATGAATCACTCACATTTGTGACATAGTAATAGATATGTTTTGTAGTCGGCTTTGTGCCTTTTAGGTAAAAATTATTGCTGCACAAATGGGGTTCCCAGAACTGACAGGGGTTACATCAAAACATGACATGAATTTTAGTTACTATGACTAATGTCATAAAAAGGAGAATTGGGAAAATCTACCAAGAACAGAGATACCTTAATTATTTCAATTAATGGAATAGCTCTTGACCTCAGATGTACTCCAAAAATGCACAGTGATCTGGGAAAGCCATATATGGTGACAGCTTGTGGAGATGTAGTCATAAAAATCATAAAATTTTCTATACTGGAAGATAGCCTCTGCGAGAGACACTGATTATTAAATGTAAAACAATAGTCACTAGTGAAGACATTTAAGGCATTTTCTGCTTAAGGAGATTGTATGTAATCATTCAAAGTCATGTTGTATAAGAATATTTATTGATGTGGAAAAATCACTATACTGCAGACTTCAAGTGCAGGTTATAAGTGAGCATATGTATTATACTGTTAAATACACACACACACACACAGTCATAGTAGAAAAAAGATTAGATTGCAATAGGCCGTATGTTACTGTGGTTGTGTCTGGGTGGGAAAATATTGTGTTTTTTTCTTTGTGCTTTTCTGAGTTATCTAAATCTTTTGCATTGAGTATCCATTTCTTTTTGTAAGGGGAAGTGTTAACTTTTACACTACCACTGATTACATCAGTTTTTCTTTCCCTTACCCTCTTTCTTACTCACTTGTCCCACTCACCACCCCTTTCAAAGGAAGCAGGTTTCTGCCCTGGCCAGTGTGGCTCCATCAGTTGGAGCCTTGTCCCCCAAACCAAAAGGTGCGGGATTCTGTTCCCTGTCAGGATGTATATGAGAGGCAACTGGTCGATGTTTCTCTCATTGACGTTTCTCTCTTTCTCTCTCTCTCTCTAAAATCAATAAACATACTTTTAAACATTAAAAGTGAGCAGGTTTCTACTGTTAGGTTTATAGATGATCTGCTAAACCAGAAGGTAGGTTCACATTGGAATGAGCAAACCCCTCGAACAGCTCTTAACATCAAGATGAGGTAAGCTGTTATTCAGCTTAGGGGGAAATCTGAGATCCCTGTTCACCCTTCTGGGTTTCCTGATGTGTAACGCTCACCACAGTCCTTCCAGGAGCCTGACTCATAGGTTACTTGCAGAGGTAGGTCGGGAGGCAGTCTGACAACCCCCACTCGGGCCCACCAATACTTCATGCACACGCAGGAAGCCACGTCCTCTGCTCACATGCAGAAAAGCCTGAAGTTAACACGGGTTTATTTTCAAAACTAACCATGGGGCCATGAGCTGCTTTTCAGCTTTCCTAGGAAATGGGCAAAGCAAGTTAGCTAAATATGATACATATTGGCTCCACAATCCAAAGAACTGTGCCTCATTCTTAAGGATAGGGAAGTCAAGATGAAAAATTTGACCTTTACTTTTCTCCATTACTGAACTTTGCCCCGGAATTTCACTGGAATAACAAGTCCCTGTGCTTCTTCAAACTCCATCACCCGCCTTCTGCCCCTTCCTACTTCCCAGGTCCAGTCTGCACATTGTCACCACCATAAGGCCGAGCACGTCTTACAGGTATTGATGGTCAAGATCAGGAGTTGGAAAACTGCGGCTCACAGACCAGATCCAGCCCACAGCCTGCTTTGGTAAACACAGTGTTGTTGGAACCCAGCCACACTCATCTATTTGCATACTGTCTCCGGCTGCTTTCACACTACAACAGCAAAGTGGAGTAGTTGCAACAGACGCCATCTGGGCTAAAGCCCAAGATGCTTACTGTCTCGCCCT